CACAAAATACTTAGCTCATCATAGACAAATAACGACAAAGGAGATTCATATTAGAATACATTACAAACATTGGAAAATAAATTGAAGGAATGCAAAAATAAAGATACAACCCTTTTTAGTGTAGCTTTGAACTTCTCCAATGGTTTCTCCAACTTTCTTTGATATGATCTCCTTTGTTGTTATGGAATTGTTTTCCAAAATGAGCCAAAACTAGATAAAAGAAAGAAAATGGAAGGACAGAGGAAAAAACGTGCAAGGGAGAGGGAGAGAGATAATATGGTAATGGAAGTGAGTGAGGGATTTTATCATAGACAAAATAAAATATCCCAAAATATCTACCAAGTAACTGATCAAAAATAATGCAAAAGCTATTACTTAACTAAGAAGTAAGCTTAGTTAAATCTAACTTTGACCCAAGAAAGATAAATTTCACTTCAAGTCCTCCAACTTTCTGGCTTGTGCACTTTGGTCCCCAACTTCACAATTTTGTACGCTTTAAGTCTTTTTTTCTTCCTTTTTGCTTCTTTCTCTTTCTTGTCGGGGTTTTTGCCTACAAAAGTGAAAATTACACAATTATGAATAGAAATTCACTCAATTTCAATTATAATTAGCTCCGAAAAGTGCCTAATAAGTGTGTAAAAACACACATATCACTCTTTGAGTTTCTTTTGCTTGCTTGTTTTTCAACGGATGACGATTTAAGCATTTGAATGCTTATGAAGATTTATTCATGAAAAAATCAAGAAATAAGACTTGTTAGAATATAATTAAAACAAGTGGAGTTATATTGATTCATATGTCAATATTTATAATATATAATAAAATTATTATTGAGTACTATTATACTATCCTTCTTTGTCAATTATGTTTCTCATTTGTTAAAGAATTTTTTAATTGAAATAAATATTATTAAATTTATTATAATCTTGAGTAAAAATATATTTTCTTCGATCTTTATTTGATCTATGTACTCATAATAGTTACAGGGACTGCAACATGACGGGTAAACTGGGGCTCGTCCCTTATCCAACAAGGACTTTTGGGCAATAGGGATGAACATGGCTAGATAATGGTAGGGTAATATTAAAGTATTCTCGTTTACCACCTCTTATTATTTAAGGGGTGTTTGATACACATTATTG